ATTAAATACATATCTATTATGTCCAAGTACTGGTTTCAAAATTCGTTTTGTCCCAGTACTACCTCCTTTACATTAGTCGAATTAGCCTCAGTTATACACCACTGCGATTTGAATGCACAGAACGGTCTTGTAAACAGAACGTAAGTCGCCCAACATTGTATTAACCCACAGAACACAACCCATTACTCTGATACCGTTGCATTAATGATGATCCCGCAACTTTTCCTCAATTTCCCGTAATTGTAAACGGTATCGATTCCGGTGGCGGTCTATAAGCGCGGTTTCAAACGTCCGGCGGCATTGTTCGAGAAATTACTAACCGAGAACTTTTTAAAACTGTGTTAATCCGGTAAACGAATCGATGCCAATAATGGACAGCATTAAAACGGAGCAAACGCACGCTCAATCGCGTGTTTCACGAGATACAATCGAGAGGCTCAAGAGATACGAATTATCGGCAAATGAGATAAACCAGATGATCAGCTCTTTTTTTTTAGACAATGTTGAATTTACTCTGAAGATACTTTAGAAAAGTGCGTGTTCGGTTTACTTAAAGAATAACAGACCGCACGGAGTTTATGATCGCAACGTAAATACATTTGGTAAGTAGGCGAGAGAAAAGGGGAAAGACGGAAACCGAAAAAAAAAAAAAATCGTTGCGGTACAATCGGAAACGATGCTGTGTGATTAATTCCACGATCTGGTGAGAAAAGCTCGGATTCGAATGGAGATCAGGAATTTCATTGACGCGTAAACATCGAGGGAGTGCCAGCAGGTTGGCGCTCGACAATCACAGAATCGAGGAACTCGTGAAAGCAAACACGCGATCGAAATATGATTTAAACGATAAGATCGTGACTGATTTCGTCGTTGAGAGATTTCGTGCGTCGACCATACTTTACGTACTTGATCAAGTTCAATGATAATTGCGTGAAATCCACCACTCGTAACAGGATTGAAAGTGTCACTCGCACAAGACGGAGCGGATCTGCGCGGCGGCGCGCGGATTCTCAGCCGTCCTTCCAGTATTCAGTCCAGACCGACTCTGGCAAAGCCTCGTGAAAGGTGCGACGCCAAAAACTGACCCAACCGCGTAACTGCATCGCGCGTTCAATGGTTTCTGTACGACTCATGTTACCGACGACGCTCGACACGTCCCGCTTTCTGAGAAACGCATCCGCCAGAATTGTTTAAAAAAAAAAAACCGTGGCCCTTTGAACAATTCGCGCGCGTCGACGTATGAACCTGTATCCGTTTGTAATTACTTTCGAAATCAGTTCTGATGCACGACTGGACCCGGACCGACGGTGCAAGGTCTCATGAGACGCCAAAAATACACTGAGTGAACGGAGCCTGAGGAACAACTCGGCGTTCTCCGAACGTGCCGCTCTCCGGGTGCACGTGTACTCAAAGAAACCGCGAGCACGAGCGCGCGCGCGCGCACTCTGAAATGCACAGGTGGTTCAGGGAGATCTCGGTGTTCTACCTCGACACCCTTCGACAGACCGCCGGCGATCGATTAATTCGTGTCACGGCATGCATCGAGCGAACTTCTCTCTACTTTTCTTTCCTACCAGAAAACTCTATCTCTCTCGCAAACTATTTTATACTTGTGCCCGTAACTGTTTCGTGAATTAAAACGCGATACGACGAGAGAGTAAGGGTAGAGATCTCTTGGATCTCGACAGAGTCACCGCACCGCGTAAAGTCTGCGGAGGAACTGCTTGCTCGATCGCAGGAAACGGGGAGTTGGTCATGGTAGGAGAATTAGGTAGAGATGGGTAGGGCCCTAGCAGCTTGCATTAGGTTTTATGACTGCCAAGGTCACTCGTTTTCCATAAGAATGGCGGCATGGACGTCTTAACGAGTGTGACTCAATTAGCAGGAAAACGCATCGACGACAGTTGATCGATGCATTTAGTTCCGATAACGCAAATTATTAGCGTCTTCGAATTTTCGAAATCGACTGCGGATTTTCTCCGTTGATAGCAAACTTAAATATGTAAGAAACTGTATGGACAGAAATGCATGAAGCATCAACAACAAAATGCATGCCATAAAAATCCGCAGTCTACCAACGAGTAGTCTCAAGGAGTCTATTGTTCGAAAAATAATTTGCGCTATTAAGATTGTACGGAATTGCTGACTCCTCGCGTAATTACAAATGCTGCCAACATACTGAGACTAGAAATTGCAAATGTGTAATAGATTCCACTGATTATGAATTCAATGAACGTGACGACAATTCGTTCCTGTTGATGTAACATAGAATTATTAGATAATTTTATTAAAAGGCTTTGACCCGGTTGCAGCCTTATCTCACGATTAACTCGAATTTATTTCATAATGATCATCCAATCATGTAGTATATGAGAAACATTAACAGCTGTTCAGAGAGGAATCCGGTAACTTTACGTTATTACATGCGACGCCACGTCATTGTTAATAAATACGTGTAGAAATTCATATTCTTCAATCGTCACATATCTCGTCCACTTACGAAAACTAGCATTCTACTAGAATAAAAACAGCATCTCATTGATATAAAATGTTTCAAACTCGGTCATGACGGTTTCATGCGTATTTAAAGAAATGCATATGTAAGAACATTTTTTATGCAACACATTGGCATTAATCATTAATGCTCCGAAATAAAGAATAACGCGATGGTGATATCTCAAAGTTAATGATTCCAGACTGTTACAATTTCGTATAAGAATTCTGCCGTGCTTACATTCAAAGCATGCTATTACTACAACTACTTTAGCTTTCCTGTAGAAGACGCAAATAGAATCGTACTGCGTACTCAGGACTGCGTTGTATAATTACAAACATAAAAATGTTCGCAATCTAGAATCGTATAACTTTAACGCCCGTCGTTAATACAATTTAATTACGATACGCACGGAAAAGGTAGGAAAGCAATATCGATACCTATAGATCAAATATCAGTATCACCATACCTTGTTAAAGCACTTCGACCGGGCAATTCGACCTTGACAGGTAATCTTAACTTGTGCATTTTATATTTCTATACGTACACGCACTACTTTACGTTTCTCAGTTCTTTCACTACTCGTAACGTGCTAAAGCGTGCGATTTGCAACAGACGGTTGTTAATAGAAACATAACCAACAAACGTGGACCCGACAAGACTTCCTTACGGACAATGCGTTCCACGATGGTGCAACGGACAGGCAGAATAGGAAAAAAAAAAAAAGAGATAGTAACACATGTATCAAACAACACGTAAACTAACCAACATTACTTCAAAGGGGAAGAATTCAACTGAATGACTTTTACATGGACACTTGGACGGCTAACGACTCCTTTCTGGCTCACGATCTTTCAGGGATGGTTCGAGGCAATTAGATCTACGACGCAAGCTCATATCCTCGCGATCACTCTATCGTTTTCAATTTAGACAACCGTCCTGCACGATGTTCGTTCGTCACAATCATTATCCGTACTCATTATGTTTCTACAAGATCCACTGTATGTACTGTTCACAAAAATTGACACTTGAACAAAAAAAAGATTGAAGATGGCGTCAGTCAGAGGGTCACGAACGCGCACAACGAAAAGGACTTGTAGCCGAGAAAGCCGAAACGTTCTGAATCATTGTCGCGCTTTCCTCCAGTCCAGTCCCCGGTTCGAGCCATCGCATATCGCATCGGGTTCTTTAAACGCGACACGCGCATGGCGGCGATTCTAGTAGTCAATTTAAGTGACCGCGCCACATTTAAATATCTCACGAAATTGACCAGCAAAACACGATCTCATCTGCGACTCATTAGTAACAAATCTACTCGTAAGATACAATGAAAGCTACATAAGAACATAATACGTTTCTACGAAGATCACGATAGACATAAAATACTTGAAGGTGTTCAATTATTTTCTGTTAATACGATCCGATGGAACTCAACAGAATTATCTAATACCGTAAGGGGGCGTTAATATTTAAACGACATATCTCTAAACAAGCTTAACGGAATTGACAAGCGCTAAAAGCATAAGCAGCTTGGTCGAAAATCCGTGGTCACTCACTTACCTAAGCAACGCTTTCCTCCAGCAGTAATCCGTTTCGATTACGAATAGCTGTAATTTCATCATATACGTCGACGACGTTGATCAGGACAAATAAGATTGTCGAACACGTCGGCCAATGCTCGCCGTTCGATACTCTTCCTATACTTTCGCAGGGTTAGCTTCCACTGTTCTTAGGGCGCGACTCGTGGGCGACCCAATTCACGGTTATCGATCAATCAAAAACTCATACACGCACAATTAGGACGACCGACGAGAAACGAGTCGTGTACTGCCGAGCAATCTTCCTGTTCCGCTCGTACGTAGTCGTGCACGATTGCTCGAAGATCTCGATCAGGATATCCTATGAACCGCGTACCGAGACATGCCGCGACCAAGTATCTTCGTTTTGTACTCGCAGGCCTCCCTTGTTAAATGTTCTTCCGGTCTCGCAGACGTTTAACTTTCCTGAGGAAGTACTTGGCGGACGTGTGCCACAGTCGCATTTCGTCAGGTCGCGGTGAAACTCGAAATGCGAGCGAAACAGCAGCAAAGGTTTGGACGAGCTTCTACTGGAAGACTCATGAGCGACGCGCAAGAGGTCATTTTAAAAATGCGCAAGCGCCCCTTCATAGATCGCGCTCCTCTCACGGTGGACCAGTGACGTCATTGCGGAAAAGGGAGATTCATTCACGAATGTTCGACACCCCCGCGTTTCTAAGGCCAAGGACCTTCGCATCCGTTAGAAACTATCTACTGCTGTACACGCAAAGCCAGGAGGATACACGCGAAGCAGTCCCTTCCACTTTGCTCGTTACTCTCTCATTCACATTTTCAATGAACCGCAATTGAACATTAACGATTTAAAATAAAATTTAATAATTATTCATATTTACGAACTGAAGCTAGCTCTCTGGAAAGTTTCGAAGATCCGAGTGTGTGCATATCTTGCGCCTTATTTCACGCGAACAGTAGATAAGAGTCTCCATCTATTTTCGTAATAGAGTAGAAGATTAATGTAGGGGTTGTGCTGTAATCTGTAATTATAATAAAATCATTGTATATCGTACATTTTTATTTAATATCCACGTTGAGGAGGAGTTTAATCATTCAACGTTTCAAATACTTTGATCAATTGAAGTATATATCTCAGTTGACTTTATGAAAGGTATTTAAATACACTGTCATCTCTGATTTAAGCATTTGTATAGCTATATGTATGTTTCATATAAAACGAAATCGTGATTGGTTAAAGAAACAAATAATACACCAGACGTAGTTCACGTTTAAGGGGAAGAGCCAATCGCATGACGTGTTTTATATCTCGTCCCTGAATGTCTACCTTATTTTAACTTTTCGCCTCTAACCTGAGGATTTGCAAGTAAACAATAAGCAACAAAGGATCATTGTAGGAAATCTGTACATTAATTACACGTGTCAGTTTAGATACATAGTTAAATTCATAATGGTGAGTTCTATTCAATGTTCAATTATTCTTTACAACGGTTCGATTTACTTGAAAATTAGATAACCTCAAACGTAATCGGGATTTACATTCTAGGATGTATTTTTAATGATCCGGCGAAAGAAATTGACGATATTTACCGATGCAGAGGAGAGTACGACAGTTCTTGAAGTTAAAAAAATTATAGAAGGTAAAGAGTACAATTTACACGTATAAAGAATCGTGTAGCAATGACATTTCACAAAGGAAGGCTTTCGAAGGCTTTCTTTTTTTTTTTTTCATTCTAATATCCATGATTGTCATCAAGGTCCACTGTGAACTGAAGAGTATATTATCGCAAATCTTGTAGGTATATTGAAAATACCACCTGTGAATCAACAACTGTTCAACAAAGACAATGTTCTAATGTCGGATAATAAACTGTTGTCTGATTATGGAATAACGTCGACCACGGCAAAACCACAGAATCCTGCGTTAATAGGGTTAGCTGTACGTCAAGAAAATGGGCTGTTCGAACGTTTAGAAATGACACCATTCTCAATACCACCTGACCTACCGGATGTCATGAAATCTCAGGAAGCTAATGGACAGGAGCAATCACCTTGAAACAATATTACTGATATGACCTAAACGATGATAAGATGTTGAGTTCAACAGAATTTCACAATTGTCAGATATTTCCAGAATGGTTAACAGCCGAAACGATGTGAATATCAGGTACATAAAAGTTTATACAAATATTAAAAGTGTCTTGAGGCTTTTTAACTTCCTTAGTGAAACTACCAAGTAGTCATTGGACATTTTGTTTTTGTTGGCTTTTCCGTTCTCAATTCTCAAGTATAACTTGAACAGTCGAATAAAAATATAGAAAATAAAATTTGTAATCCAATACAACATTCGAATTTATTACGACTTTTATATAGATATATGAAAACGTTTCAAAACTCTGTTGTTAATGCCAAGATAGACTATATACCTCAGCCAGATATAATTTATGATTATAGTTTGTAACCTTGTAATGTTTTGTAATATTTGCAATCTATTTATTTCTTGCTTAAATACAACATTTCTCTTTAGATTATACATTTCCATAAATTCTTTTATTAAGCTCGAAGTACAAAATGCCTCAAATTTTGTAAAATATATACAGTAACATCACGTATTACTTAAAGTGCAAAATTGTCAGAAATATTCATTGTAAAAAAGAAGACTTTGAGAATTAGGTTTTACAGTTACAAAATAGGGATTTGAAAATGTGATAAATTATATAAATAGTACACGTAACTTTAACAAATTGGTTACATTTAATACATTGCATCATTTTAGCATAAAATACAATACTCGTATTATATATAAATAATTTTACTATATCATAACACCTTGTTAACTTTATTTACATGTTCATTAATTTATTTGTGTGAAGAGTCACGTGTATATTTATATTATATGATAGAAATATGGAGAACTCTTTATGAATGCATAAGGAAGTATTCATATAACATTTACCATATAAAGTATCCTCAAATGTGTTACAGTATCGTTTAAAAGTCCGATTCTAATACGTTAAGTAAGTCTCGATTGTTTCACTTAAATTAATAGCAATTTAACAAAATTAAAATTTTCCAAGTGCTGCAATAAATTTACTTAGTTATTCATTCGTACGTATCCACACGATTGAACAAAATTCGACATCATAGGCATTACTAAGATAATTTGATGAACGTCAATCATGTATGGATATATGTTACAACAATGGTAGACTATATAAATCTACATATCTCCAAGCTAAAAGAATAACAAGTACCCACGATATATAAACAAGGACAGTTTACATTTAAACTGCATACTATGCTTCATCTTAGACACACGATCATGAAATTTGTATGAAAATATGCATGAATGCCATGAAAATAACAATTAAGCTAAGCAATATACTCGAGCCAAACGAAATAAGGCACTATTTAATACATTTTTAATACATATACGATTTAGGTTCTCATATAAGTATTAAACGTCTAAAATTAGTGGTGCCTTTTATACGGAAAGAAACTGAAGATATCGTACAATAATTAACAGAATGGGATGTACTGCTTTATAAATTCATTTTAGTTTGTTTTTGCTATCTTATTCTTCTTGGTTGCCATACAAGATATTGGATATAAATTGTTAACGAGTCTTACCTTTGATACGTATTGTATAATGTTTATTTATAGTTGATTTAAATAAATTTATTAATATTGCTCAAGAACATTTCACAGTCGATGTAGGTGTCTCATTATTGTGTATTTCACTGTTCTTCATGTGTCGTACATAGTATAAGAATCGGGCATTGTCTATTTGATTTTATTTGATAACATGTCTAAAATAAATTCTTTATAGCATTCTTTTTTACTTGGTATGTAATGACCGCCTTCATGTGTCGTATTTGTTTTGTGTATGAACATTTTACTAACTTCTTCTGCCATTTCTGTGAGGACAAACGACAAAACGACAGTATATAATTATTTCTTCAAAATGTACATTGTTACCTGTCGGTATAACTTGATCACTCCTGCCGTAAATATGTAAAGAGGGAATGCTTATTTTGTCATTGTAATACGTTGCATGAGGCTTACACAATGATTTGAATCCTGATATGATAATTGCAAAATCAAATTTGATTGACAACACTGTAATATTATACGTTGTTAATTTTCGTCCTGTTTTGCATATTTACTCGAGACTTACAATCTCTTTGCTGCATGAAGCAAAGTATTGTAGCAAATGCTGCTCCTTGTGAAAAACCCAGGATACCATCAAATGGTCCAGATTCTTGAAATGTCTTTTCAACCAGGGCAACGCTAGCTTCAAAGCCCACCGCTAGATCACTGGGAACAGTCGCTTTGAATATATGATCTTCAGTGTTGAACCACCATCCATACGCTGTAAGATTCAATAATGTTCCCTTCTGTTAATGAAACGTCGTAAACGAGAAACTACGTACCTCCTTCTGCTTCTGGTTCATCAATGCCAAAATTGCTTTTCATTGAAACTTTGTGCGGTGCTTTTAAGAATACAAAATCGATTTCTTTTTTAAATCCCTTTCTTAAAGAACCCAATTTTGTCTTGAAAATAGTGTCCGATTGGGCATATCCATGAAGTGCTAGTATCTAATATGAAACACATATGGTTACATGTTTAAAATTGATTTATTTGTTCAGAATGTTATTTGAAGGAAATTTACCCGTAATTTATTTAAAGAAATATCCATCACGGCAATACGGTTGGTATAATACATGTAAACGTTAGAGTAACAATCTGTGTATTACGTAGGTTACAAACATGTTGGAATTCATTTCAAAGCAACGTGCCCCACTAAAAGTTTAAGGAACTTTTAATATTAGACTGAAATTCGATTTCAGTTGTAAAAACAGAAGATGTAAATTGTATATTTTATCAATTGACATTACTCGCATGAAGCGCTGTCCAAGAATGAACAAACATTCTAGTGCATCTGAAAAGGTTATCTTTATTCGTGTTAACATTATTAATTTGTTTTCATCAGTCATTAAGTAAAGATCTCAATATTTCATCAAATGCAGTTAAGACATGGCACGTTTTTAATTCTTTCTTCTTAAATTAACAAATTTAATACTAAATATTCGTTCTCTTACGAGACAATTTGAAGAAGTTAAAAAAGAAACTAATATAGTTTTGTGTCTCCAGATAAGGACAGAACTCTTAAAAATAGAATAGATACAAATAAATATTCTTTAATTTGATCTTTTGTCTCATTGCATGTCAAATATAAGAGATCAAATGTACAATAATATATTTCATAAGTATAGTATGTATTTAAAGATCACTTAGATCCACGGCATCGACTTGTGTATTATTCTCTTCGTCATTTTGACTGTTTTCCTCTTCATATCCTTCATTTTCTCTAGGAAAATCTAGTTTTGCCCATGAACCCACCTCTGCTTTCTTAAGTTTAATCTCTACCTTAGTTGGCAACATACTAACGCTACTTTGTGCAACATCGACTACCTATAAAAATGAAATGATTCATAAATTAACAATCCCAATAACCTCGTACAAATTTCTTATACTTGTATCTACGTACCCCTCTTAGCTCTAAATCAAGATTGTATCTAGAATTTTCTTCTATAAAGAATAAATCTATAGTTAATCGTATAGGGTTCAGCTTAACAGTTGATTTATCTGGCTGATACTTCTTGGCATAAACTGAAACTACAACGAATGCCCCTGTTTGATGCCAATCCATTCTACATTTCACTTTTTTACCAGTATTCTGAAATGCCAAAGTTCAAATCAAAATTAGGAAATGTTAGCTGAAACAGAATAAATACATAAAAAACAGAAGGGATTCAGAAACATACTGTAGAAATCCATGTGTGTTTCCCTTGTGTACACCCTGGTTGTTCTAAGAACGTAGAAAAGTCTGTAGTTCTCTTTTGGCAGCAAGACCAAAATTTCAATCCTTCATGAAATATAGGTGTACCAGGATGGTGGTTGCACACTTCATCATCAGATGCAGGACCTCTGTATGTAGCTTTGCAAGAATTATTTTTACAACTTTGTCCGATCTGCACTTTACTATCGGATACACTGTTTGTCACAAGAGAAGTCAATCCTTTAATTTGTTCTAACAACGTAGGAGACACGTTAGGCGTTAAAGTAACTTGTGACGTTTCAAAAGGAGGCCTCTGTAAAATAGGCCCGTCCATAAGTGGTTTAGCAATTACTTTGATCACTTCATTAGCTTTTGACTTGTCGACAGCTGGTTTTTCTGGCTCTGGTGGTTTAACATTTGAATGAAACGATTTTGTACAGCCTTTAATGTTTAAAAATTCTGTAAAGTCTGTACATTTTTTATTACAACAAGACCATCCTTTATAGGCATCATGAAACACTGGATGGCCAGGATGATGAACACAATCACCTGGGGGGAGTAATTAAGTATAAGAATAATTAAAAAAAAACAGAGAAGCTTCCGCATGAGAAAATAAATACCTTCTTTATTATCGTTCGGATCGAACTTTTTTCCACAGCCGCGATTGTAACAGTGCAGCAGCATTGTTTCCCGTGACATTTTGAACACAGTAATTAGGAATACTGTGATTTCGAATTTTATTTCAACTAGTCTAGATGTATGAACCCGTTGCGCGAGAACACGAGGACGATGGTCGTACGAGATACGTTTACAACTGTGACTAGCACGGGCAATTGTTTCGAAAAAACTTCTAGCACGTTCTGGAGCATCTAAAGTTAACACGCAACTTCTGATTTGTGAATAATTCTGTGTATAGTTAATAGATCGGTATGAAAGAGATACGAAATGAGAGACAACAAATTAGCCAAACTTTCGAAATATTTCTCGAAGATTTTCTGTTACTTATTTGATAATAAACTTTCCCATCTCCGTTATTAATAATCACTGACTACGTTTTAATGTCAAGCTATGATACGCTCTCTATACATTCCTATAATTGAGTAAAAAACAGTTTGATGATTGATGTTGACCACGGAGGTTGACAGTGTGTGTGTCAGATCGTATCAATAAAAAAAAGATGACTCACAATCATCACAATATAAAGGTGTGTGAAATTTGGTAACATGAGATACGTTTAATAAATATGGAATTCCGAAATACGTTTTTAATATGCTACATATTCTTCACTGTACAAAACACGTGTGAGTTTGTATATGAAATTTTCTCATATTCAATTAGATATAACTTGGGTTATAAACTTTCTCTAAACTATTATAGATGGTCTCCATAAAAATTTAAAATATTATGAAACATTACACGCGTCCAATTTACAACATAACATTGTAAAGAGAGGTGTTCAACATAGTTATCATCCTTTCAACAAAATAAGTGAATTAGAGTTTTACTCCCATGGAAGATACTTTAGATTAATTTTAACCCCAAGGAGAGAAGTAATTCATTCCAAGTTTAAAGCATATGAGGTCAATGGCAATGGGGACGAAAAGACGATACACTTGGATCATGAAAGTTTTTATCATGGTCGAGTATTTGGTGAAATTGATTCCCATGCACAGGTGCACATTGACAATGGTGTTCTAACAGGCAGTATTACAATTTCTGACGAAACATTCCACATCGAGGTACGTATACAGGCAATTTTCTTATATATAGGAATAACGATCTTCATCCTATTATAGCCGTCTTGGAGACATCTTCCTCATTTAGGAAATGAAACGATGATTATTTACAAATCGTCGGATGTTAAGTTTAGTTGGGAACATTTTGAAGACGGGGAAGGGCATACTCACAGTGTTCCTAAAACTTGTGGATACGTGAAAGAAGAATTGGACATTCCAATGTACGAAGAGAAAGACGAAGAATTTGATATTAAATTAAATGGGCATTTTAGAATGAAACGCCAAACAGAAACTTATGAATACACTCCGACAAAAACGAGATGTCCATTACTCTTGGTTGCCGATTATCGTTTTTATCAGGAAATGGGTGCTAGCAGTACAAAAACTACTATTAACTATTTGGTAAGCAATATATTTAACATTTATCCGCTTCTTAGATTATAAATCCTCTTATGTTTTACAGATAAGTTTGATTGATAGAGTGCATAAAATTTATAACGATACTCTGTGGCAAGAACGGCAAGAGCAAGATGGATTCAAAGGAATGGGTTTCGTTATAAAAAAGATCGTAGTTCACAGTGAACCGACTCGAGTGAAAGGTGGTGAGACACATTATAACATGGTCCGGGAGAAATGGGATGTTCGTACACTGTTAGAGGTAAAATGGAACTTTCTATTTTTCTATATTCAAAATATAGCAGCTATATTTTAATCGTGGAGCAATAAGTATGGAAACTACGTTCAGGTTTTCAGCCGAGAATATAGTCACAAAGACTTTTGTCTGGCACACTTGTTTACTGATCTCAAATTCGAGGGTGGTATATTAGGATTAGCATACGTCGGATCCCCGCGTAGAAACTCAGTAGGAGGGATCTGCACACCAGGTAAAGATAAATTTGTTAAAGATACACAAACGTTACAAATTACTTCTCGAGTTTCAATAGTGTATAATCGATGTTTTTGTATTTCAGAGTATTTTAAGAATGGATACACGTTGTATCTTAATTCGGGTCTAAGTTCTAGTAGGAATCACTATGGGCAAAGAGTTATTACGAGAGAAGCTGATTTAGTAACTGCACATGAATTCGGACACAACTGGGGATCTGAACACGATCCAGATATAACGGTAACATACTTATTTTTACTCTGTAGATTATATAGTTGACATTTTGAGTACATGCATTTTCTTTATAGGAATGTAGTCCAAGTGCTAGTCAAGGAGGTTCTTACTTAATGTACACGTATAGCGTTAGCGGATACGATGTAAACAATAAGGTAGCTAATCCATCAGTACAAAAGAGAAACTAAGAACAATGCTAAATCAAACTGTTTAATGTTAATTGTTTATTGGTTAGCGTTTTTCACCGTGTAGTTTAAGATCTATTAGGAAGGTACTGCAAGCGAAGTCTGGCCGGTGTTTCTCTGAACCGGAGGAATCATTTTGTGGTAATTTACGGGTCGAAGGAGACGAGGAGTGTGACGCAGGATTACTCGGTACCGAAGATAACGATGCTTGCTGCGATAAAAACTGCAAACTCCGTAGGAGTCAAGGAGCAGTGTGCAGGTATTATATCTATCGTAAAGTTTTTTTGGTACGTATTTATAGAAATGAAATATTGTTACAGTGACAAGAATTCGCCATGCTGTCAAGGTTGTGCGTTTATGCCATTGGGCGTGAAATGTCGCGACGCACAATACGCCACGTGCGAACAAGAGTCGCGTTGCACTGGCGCGAACAGCGAATGTCCTAGATCTCCACCGATGAAGGATGGCACGGGTTGCCTAGAGAGAGGACAGTGCAGACTTGGGAAATGCATACCGTATTGCGAAACGCAGGGTCTGCAGAGTTGCATGTGTGATACGAGTACGATCCATTTTAAATATCACATTTATTCACAAAATTAAGCAAAACGGTGCATGTACATATTCTTATTTACAGTCGGAGATGCGTGCAAACGGTGCTGCCGAATGAGTTTGAACGAAACATGCTTTCCCATAGATCCTCAAGATATTTTACCCGACGGGACACCATGTATTCAAGGGTTTTGTAATAAGGTAAGGGTTCTCGTGGGATTATATCGTATGCTTGCGAATTGAACGAAATATTTGTTGTAGGGTGTCTGCGAGAAAACGATTCAAGACGTAGTAGAACGATTTTGGGATATTATCGAGGATATAAATATTAACAAAGTGATGCGATTCTTAAAAGATAACATAGTCGGCGCTGTTATAATCATTACTGCGATTGTATGGATACCAACTAGTTGCGTTATCAGTTATATCGATCATAGACGCGTGAAAGAGAGTCAGAAAAAGTGGCGTTGGAAACACACAGACGAGCTCATTCATCCTGACGAGCAGAGACAAGTTATTTATGTAGGAGGGCAACGATCGAGAGTGGTCACTCAACAGTCTTAGGTATAAGTATCGTATTCATAATGAAGTCTCTAGTCATTAACTCGATCGCTGCTGTTCTTTATACAAATTTTCGTTTGTAAAAAATGTTTATACTAAGCGAGGATTATATTTAATAATATATGTACACATTACGAAATAATAATATGCGCCTGGCGGGCGCTCGTGCAAGCAGACGCTCGTACCAAAGCGTAATCGCAGACCATGAATGCATGCCCATTTCAACTAGTTGAAAATATATTTTCGCGCTAAATCATGACCAGCAGCTGAAGCGCATGCACTCATGATCTGTGACTGCGCTTTCACGCGCTTTTTAGTAACCTGTCCTCCACTATGGTAGTACAAGTTTTCATATATACCACCGAGGAGATACTTATCTCCTCGGTGTATGTGTATATACGTGTGCCTGTGCGCGTGTGCCGTTTGGTTTGAACTTTACGAACATTCGCGCGCGAACTGAGCGCCAGTGGATCAGTATACAATGGCGTCTTGGAATAAAGTGGTGTCAGGATTTAAGAACGAAGACGAAACGATTAATTTCGGTGCAAGGACGTTAGCAGAGAACAATGGATTGTTATACGAAGCCTATACCATCGCTACGATCGAATCTGACGGAAAGGTATACAATATTAATCTTACTTTTCCCATCAAGCGTGGCGGCATTTGAAATTTAACGGTTGCCGTCTATAGGTGACTAAAGATCCAAATATCATAGCGTCTGTACAATATTCGAGAGTTTGTATAGTAATTGATAAATCTATTACGATCTTTGAAAGTGAACAATACGAGGAAGTATTGTTAAGTATCACTTTCGAGTTAGATATAACGTGTTACTGTGTTTCTCGTGATGGTGTCTTTGTGTTTGTCGTGTTGTCAAATGGAGAGTTGTGTTGCCTTCATTTGTCGAAGAGTGAAGTTATATTTACAAAGTGAGTAATTGTAATTATATGCAATTAGACTTGATGCATAGATATTGTATTTTTACATATTCATGTATCTTCTACTTACAGAAATATCACAGATGGGATTAAAGTAATAGCTTTATTTTTACAAAATGAAACTAACGGATGGATCAACATATTTGCTGTTTCCGAAAGAGGAACTATTTATAGGTAAGTGTATGCTTGTGTGTACAAAATTCTGTACATAAAGTAGTTGTAAATCTTTAATACTACCAATTATCATCATTTTAGGATATCAGGATTCAAGACTTCTGAATCAATTGCTTCAAATGAAGATAAAAATAAAGAAATAGCAAGTAATACTGAATGCACTGCATTGCAATGCGAGTGTACTACATTATTCAAAGGGTTTCCTTCTACTGAAGTAAGTCTACATGCATGAATAATATGTAATAATTCCAACTTTTGTATAATTTTTACAGGTAACATATGCTACTGCAGGAACAGTAGGTAACAGCATGTACATAGCCATGTTATCCTCAAACATGTTATTTATGTGGCCCAGCGAGCATTATATCAAATTCAGTTCATCGCAACACAGTTACACCAAAGTGAAGTTTCTTAAAAATTACATGGCAATGCTATGTCTACGTGCAGATCGTACATTAAGCATGATCTGTCCTCGAACTTTACTCGGTATAACAGTGAATAATGCGCCTGTAACAGATTTTGCGATCATTGAAAATAATGATAACAGTTCCTGTCAAATTGTTACCCTAACATCCGATTGTAAAGAACATACTGTGCACGTTCTCTCGTACCCAGACTTCCAGGAGAAGTTTCAAATAACTGTACCGGTTGTAACGTTTCTTGTTGAAATCATGGATCCTTGCGATGAAATAATTTTGTATTTAGAAGGTGTCAATGTTAACGCGATAACCGAGTATGTAGATATGATTCGACTGAAAACTGTGTCAGAGAGTATGCCCGAACATCAATTAGGACGTTTAATAAGAAGGGAACAGTTCGACGCCGCTGAAGATTTTGCAAATACATTTGATTTGTCTAAAGAACCTATTTATTGCGCGAAAGCAGCGTTGCTCTTGTCGCAACTTGGGCCTTGGGCAAAAGAACGTCCTGATTTGAATAAAGTTGACACGATTCTCGATATATTTGATAAAATAGAAAATGTGCAATACATAGTAGAGTGCTGTAGCAAAGCGCTTATTCCGAACTACGAGCAGATGCGAAGGTTTCATCTATACGCACGTTCAAGAATAATGAAAAACACGGCTGAACATTTAAATCTTCTTCCTTCGATCAATGACGTAATGCACAAGTTGGAAACGTTTCATATGATTTGGGGCTGCAAGAGGGATATGGAATATTACGATGAGGACACCGTGAAGGCGTGGATTCGATTTTCAAGAGCAGACTTCTTGGAAGAATACAAGACGCATTTGAGGATGGGAGAATTTGAAGCGGCTACTTCGATTTGGACGAGGCATCTTCCAGACATGATCAAACACGTGAATATAGAAGTAGTGAAGGGTATATTCACAATTCTCCCGGAGAACACATCTCCGTCTGCCCTTTGGCCGTGGTTGTCTAATTACGTTCCAACTTTATTGTCGTTCATCCCTAGCGCAATATGCGAAATTATTCTTTGGGGTTGCAAGAGGATTAAATTATTCGAGCAGTTTTATCATTCAAAGTGGCCTCAGATTGGAATCGACTTTGCGAACAAGTTTATCAAGATATTAAGATTCGAAGAGAGATCCTTATGTCTTCAGGAAGTGTATTCGGAAGGAGACACATACTTGAAACAACTTACTCTTCTCATGCAAGCCATGTCTGATATAAAAAAGCTAAAGGATAATTATCGATTGATTATATCCCTCGACTCGTACATCGGGGATCCCATCGAAGTAACGTACATATTACTGGACAAAGTGCATGTGGACGTAATACCGGAATTTCTAAATACGTTTTTGAAACGGTACATGCTGAACAATTCATTGGAGGGCGATTACGCGTTTTCTTCGTACATACAAAAGATGTTAACGAATTCTAAAGGCTGGTGGCTCGGCGAGGAAACATTCTGGGAGAGAAAGGTAATCGTCATCATTGATTTGATCCAGAAGGTAGAAACTAAATTGCAGCAGACGTTGGAGGTGTTAAAACGAGCCTCGGTTCCGTGGAGTTCAACCATCGTGGCTCTAGTCGAAACAAGCTGTAAGTACGATCATGCCTTGACCGCGGAAATTAGGACGGAGCAGAGTTTTGTGCCGGTCAAACTCATTTTGAAGAAATACGGATACGAACGCGTCGGCGTGAACGGCAAACTAATGCAGCGCGTAATAAAAGAAAATCGTGACAGCATGATTTCGGATCTTCAACAATTGACTAAAAATGACGTGTCGTTGAAGAAGCAGATATTTTCTAATTGCGTGAACTATCATCTGTCTATGGGAAATTTAGAAGACGCGACGAACGTATTAAATTCATTGGAAAACGATGTTTTATTGCACTGTTGTGAGAACATTGGTGGATACGTGGAAGCCTGTTTAAAGTTCAACACCGTACCCGAATATATCACGTATCATATCGAGATGTTCGGTTGGGTGAGATTACAGTTGGAAAAATTTTCAAGGGAAGCACGTTGTTCAAGCAACGATATCATCGACAGTTTAGACAGAATAAAATCAATGTACATGTTGAAGAAAGATTTCGGAATCAGTATCACAGTCGACGAGTACTTTTTTAAGAAAAAGGAAATACTACGAAATTACATTACAAGATTGTTTAATGAAGCTTCGGAGGAAGAAGAAATGATGATCTACAAGAAAGTTACCAGAGTCGCGGATCTACTTGCGTTGGAAAGAACAGATGCTACTACTGTATCCTTGTTACTGGAATCAACGAGCGACGACAATTTATTGAATTTCTTAATCAGATGTATTAAAAAACAATTAAACGAAATGGCGAGCGAGCCCCAATACGCGTATAAAATCTGCTTGCCTTTAATGCAACACGCGGACAAAGTGGACGTAGATCTAGCAGCTACGATTCAGAATATATGCTCTCTTGCATTGTCTGTGTGTCCCGGTGAAGAATTGCCATCAGTTTTGGACTTGTACTCGTGGGCAACTTTGTATAAGGAATGCTCCAGTAGAAGCCTTTGTGCAATTGACGCGAAGCAAGAGATCGAAGAAATACCGAGGAAGGAATGGAAGGAATGGACGGAATTATACGAAATGTACAAAGACCCGGCGATTGGAGCAAATCAATCTGTATTACCATTATTTGGAAAAGTGATTTCTACACAAATGTCTTGTATTGTTCGATCGGATGCTGAAGAGATACACTCGAGTACGGAGGATTCAATGAACAAATTGATTGATAAAATGAAAGGATTAAGAGGAGAACACAACGATTATCGGCTATTACAAATCGTCAAAACTGTATATATTGATTTTTGTTGCAGGTCACAGATAAATACATCATTGTTAATGGAGATGAAATCAATATATCTGCAGCGTTTAACGATGCTGTTAAAAAAAATAATTAGCGCTCGGGGGTTTGACCTCCAGCTTGGTCTATCTTGCCTTTTCATGTTATCTGATTCGGAAGCGTGCGCCTGGATTTCCACTGCTTACAAGTCGTACCAGCCTGACTGTATTCGACATTTAAGAATAGTAGAACTTGGACACGCATACTTTCATCTGACAAGAAATCATACGCTACTCGAACCGTTCCAGAATAACAAACTACTGTATTATTGGGCGGGCAAATTGTCCAAGTACTCGGTTTCGTATAACGAGATCTTGACGAGCGACCTGACAGCCAAGAGGAAAATATTGCAGGGAATCATGACTTATAACGACGACATGATTCCCTTGTTCCATGAGTTTTGTTCCGATTTCGGCTTCGACTTTCAAGATTGCTTATTGCTGTATTTGGAAGTGGTAGTAAAAACATGGAACCCAACGTTACACGTAGACGATTACAATGGGAAAGAAGAGTTACGCATCGATGAAGAAGAAGTGATGGATTTGAGGAAAAAATGTGATCTCATTGCTAGTTACATCAACGACCAAATTGCCTTGAAGAATCGCATTAGGACGTGTCTGTTGGAAGTAAATTTCTATCATTACGAAGTATTTATAATTCTCATGGATCTTATAAACGAGAAGGACGTCGAGAAAAGAATTTATTTCTACTTTTTACAAAATTATACTCGCGTCGGTCAACCTACGAAGATAGAACTCGACGAATGGCTGCATATCAATCCAGGGTATACGTCCGCACCACCTATAGCTAAGTGGCGACTGCCTTATTTTCCAAAAATCAATTTGTTGAACATTATAACTCCCGAACTGAATTTGAAGACCTACGAGAAATGGCTGGAAATTGCTGACATCTTTAAATTGCAGCCTCACATCATATGCACATTGGCTATAAAGGGAGAAGTGACGCAGACTTGGGAAAATGCTCGCAGAACGACCTCCGAATGGTCCCTATGTCCGAGGAACAGCACTTTGTTGAATAATATAAAAAAGTGTATAGAAAAGATGACTGATCCGGACGCGTTGTACTACGGTACAGCCGCGTTGTATTACGCTGTGAATCAGACGCCACCGGGAGCCGATCAAGTGGCTGCGGCCGAGGAGTGTTTCAAATACGCTCAGCTGTCCGTGCAAAAGTCCACGCAATTCCAAGAATCGATGTTGGAGAAGATAAAGTTCAAGTACTTACGCTTCTCGACGGAGCATATTTTACGCACGCACGGCTTAGGAGATACCAAGTATTTGTCGTTAATTGGGAATCCAGACAAATTGGTACGCGAATTGTACACGGACGAGAGTATCCCCAAGAGGTATCAATACACCAGCGATCATAGACCCGATATCAATTCTGCAGTTAATTCCATCAGTCAGCTGTACGGTATGAACATTGTGAAACTACGAATGGAATTATTACAAGGCTGGTTGCAGCCAGATGTTAAATACTTGAGTCGAAGCGTGACGGAAACATTTTCAATACCTCACAATTCCGAATCGAATTCCAATAGTTTTGACAATTTAGCGAGAGCGTGTTACATTTTGGAACACGGAGATCTCGAACTGTCGGCTAATTTTCTTATAAACATAGCTTTCAACGATAAGAATGAAGATTATTGTCCCGAAGCTCGTTACAGAGCTTTACGCGTGTTACAGTCTATAGTCGACCCGGCCAAGTTAGAGGACCTGACTAAACGCGATCATCAAACAATCAGGAATTATATGAAATCGTTAATGTATATAAGCAAACTCGAATCGTTAGGAATAAGTTGTAGCGTGAATGCGTTTGAAATGTGTTCTAAACATGAGATTGTACAAATGTTATGGAAATCGCAAAGATACTCACCGCAGGCGTTCATCACCATCGCAGAGCTCTGTATAGATTTTGAAATATATGAATACTCCCTGTGGGACAAGGTACTGGTTAAATTAGCCGAATCATTAATGATCACTGAACTGAAAAGGATTTTGCTGCAAGTACGGAACGTAAGTGTAATTGTAAATTCGAACGGATATCTCTTCGGATGGGAAGTGATTACTACAGAACCATTTAGGAGGATGGATGTGTACCCGACTGCTGAACAAATCGAAAACTGCATCGGCGCGCTACGACTTTTGTACTCATGCCCTGTTGTACGAACATTAAGTTTCAAAGAGATCGTAAGATATTGCTTCCAGTGTCAACAGCCACATTTGGCACTCGTGCTGCTACCGTTTTTAAACGACGAAGAAACGCAGTTCACTCTGGAGGTGAGCGCCCGATCTATTGCTTGTACTTGAAATTCTATTATCACGATATACATTATTTACATTTCTTTACAGAAACTGAAACGTACCTCGAATATTGAGAAGATATTAGAAGATCTGAATAATTTGGTACCAGACGGAATACTTTTTGTGGATTACGTGAGTATAATAGAATTCCTCTTTTCAACAACAAATAATACATCGTTTTAAACCAAGTGTATATTTTTTCAGTGCAATACAATTATACAAAAGTACATTAATGAAAATGATCAGCCAGCCTGATGGAACAGGGAAATTGATGTCGAGATGGAATTCGCTTACTGATGCCGATTCTGTTGGAAGTAAATTTGTATCATTACGAAGTATTTATAATTCTCATGGATCTAATAAACGAGAAGGACGTCGAGAAAAGAATTTATTTCTACTTTTTACAAAATTATACTCGCGTCGTTTAACCTACGATGATAGAAGTCGACGAATGGTTGTACATCAATCTCGAAGTTCCCCCGTTCCTGAAATTCCCTGTTTTCGAACTTCCTCGTTTTTAAAGTTATGCTTCGTCTCCTGTTTGTTCCACATTTGTTCCAGCGAAACGGAATCAATTGTTCTTTTGAATTTGTTGTAACATTTATCAGCATCTATGCATACTTAGATTCAATTATTGAAAAATCGGAAGTCATTGGAAATTGTAGTTCTTCATGTGTTAGCGTATCCAAGTCTAACTCGTGAATTCAGTTCGGACATTGATTTTAAGTAGCCGTACCTAGGATTGTTCATTTGGGCAAGGATTTTAAAATAAAAATGCCAAGATTCGTTTCATCNCAATCCTAGGTACGGCTACTTAAAATCAATGTCCGAACTGAATTCACGAGTTAGACTTGGATACGCTAACAAATGAAGAACTACAATTTCCAATGACTTCCGATTTTCCGAATATTAATTCAGAAACTAATCTCAATTAAACACTGATATTCATTAAGATATTAAATGCCAATTACTTTTATTCTTACTTCAAATGCAAAATATGGTGTGCACTAATGAAAATAAAGTAATACAAGTGTGACAAAATTTGAAAATGATAGTTATTCTCTTTCCGAAGTACTAATCTCGAATCAAGTATAACGTTGATAATATCAACGTTCTACGGTTACAGGAAGTTGAGGAAAGTCTTTTCAGTCTTCGCATTCGGGATCTAATGGAACTTTTAAATTGAAAAAATAACTATACGTCTGTACGTCATTCAGCTGTTTCAAGTAACTTGCAGTGCACACGCCTCAAAAATCCCACTGCCCAACCTGCCCAACACCGCTGCTAGCGACCGCTAGCGACGGAAGAGGCCGAAAAATGCGTCCAACATATTATTTATTACGCTAAAATTGTAACATTTTAAATACAAATGTAAATAAATTATTTATAAAATACATAAACTGTTCCGAAAAGGTACAACAGTCCTCAAAGGTAAACGTGTTTCCTTAAAAGATATCAACCTAATTGTACCTACAAACAAGTTCGCCTAATGTTTTTTATTACAGAAATGTTTCGAGACACTCCGAAGATTATTATAGAAGATGGATCTTCTCCATCTGCTCCTTACGTTATGTACATTAAAATGGAAGACTTATTAGAAAAACTAAAACTGTTAAATTATGACACACAATTTCTGCCAGAGTTTAAGATAAAAGCTATAAATAGGTAAATGTCACAATTGTGTACGAATATACTTACACTTTTCTGTTACAAAAGTTCATTAAATGATCAATTACAATTACGTAGGAATTACTTTGTAACACAAACGAATCCAGGAGAACAATTTTATACGTTCACATCTTTAGCTGCATGGCTGATCAGAAAGACAGGTGGAAATATGGAGATACCACAGGAATCGGATGATCCTAATGCTACGATAGCCTTGATATTAGACCATTTAAGAGATAAGAGAGTACCAATCGAATTCCCACCTAACAAACTTAAACAAGGAAGTGGCGAGCATGCAATTTACGTTTTGGACAATCTGGCTGACGAGGCGTTAAAAGTACAAAAGTTCCAGTGGGAAAAGTAAATGTCTCAAGTACATATGCGTGTTTTGAAGGATCGTTCAAATTATCGTACATTAGTGAACATTTTTTAGAGTACAAGTACCTCCTGATGAACCAAACAACGAACCAGACATAGAGGACGATGACGCTGAATTAATTTTAGAGAAAGTAGAGGAGGAAATGATGGCCGAGTACGACGACGAGGACGAGGATATTTTACACGTCGATGATATTACAAAACTATATGGTCAAAATTTTGTAAGCATATTCGTTCGTTCGTGCTTGAGACATAGGAATTACGTGTTTAACTTCTTTATAAATTTTTTCAGAACGAGACACAGAAACCGGATGAAATTTTAGAATCCAAAACAAACAGAGAAGACTGGCAGCTAGAATTGGAAAGAGTACTACCTCAGTTAAAAGTAACTGTCAAAACAGGTACAGAATGTTTTCAATTGAAACTTAAAGAGCAGAGCTAAGTGACCAAAAATGATTTTAGACTCAAGAGACTGGAGATCGCACATAGAACAAATGAAACAATTACGTATGAACATAGCGACCAATTTCACTGGTACTAAAAATCAGCTAGACAAACTGCACGTTGACATCTCCAACACTTTGGACAAAGTGAAAACAAGGGAATCCTATTTGAACAGGCAATTGGATCCCATTTTAAAGGAATACCAAACGCTGCAAGATGAATTGTCAAAGATAAAAGAACAGTACAGAGACGTTAGCGGCGGTGTAACGGAAAGAACACGGACTTTTAACAAACTGTCAGAGGAGCTGGAGCACGTAAAAAAAGAAACGGATGAACGAGGCTCCAGTATGACAGACGGAAGTAAGTATATACTACGACTGATTTTTTGTAACATCTATACATTGACGAGAGATATTCTCCGTAGCTCCTCTTATAAATATAAAAAAGACGATTACTAAAATGAAAAATGAAATCTCGGAAATGAACGTCCGCATCGGCGTGTTAGAATACAGTTTAATGTGCGCAAGGATACGAGACCGGACTCAGTTCCAGGAAGATATGAACAACACGAATAATGTCGCGATAATTTGAATTAACATGTACTATAATGTGTACCAGTGTCAAGCGTTCCGTCCAACCTTCGTTAGAGATGATAATTTCTTATCAAAATCTAGTCAAATCTAAAACGTAGTCTTCTTTTAGAGATGTTTTAAACACATTGTCTGACTATAATCGTTAATAATCGGGTCCAATAAAGCGATTACCTCGCATCGATATTTATACAGTTTATCTACACGCCGTGTATTTAATTTATGGAAATGAATTACCTATGTACTAAATCCTTATCACGCTAAAAGCATGAGAAATAAAGTCGAGCAACACGATTGAAAATAATTCTCTCATTAATTCGTTCAATGTATAATAAAAGGAGTTTCCCTCGACGCGCAAACGTGTGACTCATGATCGGTGCTACTGTGGATTGATAACGACAGTAGCGATGAGCGAAATTAAGGAGGGAATACACGCGACATGCTGTTTCGTCGTCGAACGATCCCTCCTCTTTTAGCAATTTCCTGGCCTTGCTTTAGCTGGTTGTGAACTGTACAGTCTGAGTTTTACTCAGTGTGCTCAGTAACAGCGCGATCTTTCACGTTGCTACTGAATGCGGCACACTGGTTCAATTCATTTCAACGACTCGACGATTTTTCACCAACGAGTTGCAGTGCGAGGTAAGAACGTCTATAATATCCGGCTAATAACGATTCAAATGAACAGATCTATACATCAAATTAATGTACGATTATGGCTCACGTGTTCCTAATTTCTTTTAATGCAATCAACTGTTCAATACTGCGTGTATGCGATCGTGTACAGCCATCAAGAGCCAAAGTTGGAATATCGTTTACTGATTAAAATATCGTTGACTCGCACGAATATAAACTGTGTTATCGAAGAGCCGTTGACTCGGTGTATTTGCGAGCATGCACTTTCTTTCCAGTTTAAAAAGTTGTCTTTTATACACGTGAACGGGACTTGATCTTTGCTTTTCCTAACTTTCACCAATCCGTCTGCGCGCGTTCCCGGAGAAATTACTTCAACGAATACGTCAACTTACTTGTTCACGTTAAGAAAAATTATTATGTGCATATAAATATTC